CCTGACTGGGAGGTGACCCTCACACTTTCCTGAGAGTTTACACTCTCAAAGCGTATACTCTCAATGCCTCAAATACTCGGGGATATGAATCTGGGTCCAGTACGCCAAGCACCCAGATTCAGTCTCTCTCTAACTCCCACTTAGCGTAAGATTATTGGCTTTAAGGCCTTGAAAGGCCACATAGCCAACAACTTTTCATACAAATGGGACACGTGGTGAGTGGAATAGCATGCAAAGGACAGATGGAACCTAAGGGGCATGCATGGCTCGACAGTGTCATGCACGGCGGCCTTCTCTTCACACTGTCGAGCACGCCTCTCTCTTCTCACTTAGTCCGGTCAAATCTGGGTCGTTACAGTCCCCCTCGTTACATGTTTGACCATCGCCTCCCAAAACTGCACCACACTGTAAAATCATGGGTGGCATAAATGACATATTATGCACCATGTAATAAATAATAGGGAAACGTAGGTGACAATGGAGTTGGTGACATTGTCACTCTTGATCGGTCTAAACGGCCAAGATTTGACTCCGAACTGCAATGGTGATCAAAGGGGATGTTTGTTTGTAAATATGGGAGCAATTATCTGATTTAGAAAATGGATCACTGACGTATGCGCCTAGAGTCTGTTGTACTAATCCGAGACCCGGCTATACCTAAATCAAACCAAAACCACGGACCCGAAGACTTCGGCCCAGCTTAACCAAACCAACAAGCCCGAGTATCTTGACTTTTCAATCCCCCCCGTTACTCGTTTGTGCCTTGCTCGGCAAACCCCTGAAGGATCGGGGGGAGTCGTGTCATTACTGACTTTGAACTCTAGGTATCGGGTCGGGGGGCCCGGCTTCAGGTATACTGTTATTTTATATTATTTCTTATTCGATTCCGATTATATTTCTAAAACATCTTTGAAATCTCCCCCCTTTTCTGTCTGGACTTCATGCTCAACCATATCAGGAGGCCACTCTACTGACCATTCGAGCGGATTAGTTTCCTATAGCCTGACTCTCACCCGAACAACAATTTGACGGGACTCTTTTCTCTACCTAATCTTTTCGACGAGTTTATGCCTGAAAACAAGGCATGGACTGCATTCCCTACTAGAATTTTCGAGTATAACAATCTAGCACGTACTGCGGGGCTTGGCATGTTTGAATTGTTGAAGTGACTCTGTGAACTCCATCCTGAAGGGCCACCATCAATTCGAAACCCATTCCACCACGTCTCGGGCCCCTTTCGCACGTGGGGCATGAAACATGCAAACAATTTTGGAAATAGCATTGTCGCATGTTCCAATAACGTTTGCTTGGTTCCACCCCTCCTGCTTCCTCTCTGGCACGTCCCTGTATCCTGGTATTTTTTGAGGACTCAGGACCTTCCTTGAAAACGAGGCTAGTAGTGGCGTTGGCGAAGTTGGTTGTTGTCATGCCTCTGAGCTCCAGAAACCCTCCTCTGAAGGCCTTTTCTGCTTCCTGCTTCGGGTTCAAGAAGTGTTATAGTTGACGCTATTGTGATACTCGTTAACCCTAGCGTCACCTCGTTGTACCTGAAGCCCTAGAATCCATTCATTGGGTCTGAACGCACCGAGGCTGCCACCATCGTTAGAGACAATGGCAGCAACGTTGGCACTCTCTAGCCCTCTTTTTCTCGTGCCCCAGCTTTGCGTTTCTGTATCCAAATGGACCTTTAGGGGCCGTTTGGATAGTTGTATTTCTATTATGGGGAAATAGATTATGAGGAAATAAACAATTTCCGGTGTTTGGATGCACGTAGTTGGTAGGAAATGAAACACATTACACAAAATTTCTTTAATAATCATGAAATTTATTACCCACCCCAGTAAGTAAAAAATCTATTATGAGCGTAATGTGAAATGGCGGACCCGCTAGAAAAGATTAACTGCGTCCAATGAATTTGAACTCCCCCTGTCTCTCGCTCAAAAGACTAATTAATTGCACTCCACGTGGGCATCGAAAGACTCATATATTGCCATCAAGACTCTCTCTCTAACATAAATATTAACCGTTCATTTCTCACGTGCCCATTACAATGTTTTATACTCTCTAATAGTGTGTTGCCATAAGAAAAATACACTCTTCTCTCTCTCGAACATTGTGTCGCTATCAAAAGAGACTCTCTGTCTAGATCAGAGAACAGGCAAAGGTGGGCTAAAACATCTGTTTTTTTTTTTTTTGAAGAAATTATCTGAAATGTTAAGTAGAAGATGGTGTAAAAATTGTCCATGCCATCAGTTGGATAAAAATGCCAATTTGCCATGTCCAAATTTGTACATGAAAATAGAGAATAACATGTGCAATTAAATTTTCATCTTTTTTACTCTAATAATTTATGCCATTGATTTGTCTTATTCAAAGGCATCAAAAGGAAAATAAAATAGAGAGAAAAGATCCTTGAGATTTAATGCTATAGTTGTAATTATGACTATATTCTTTCTTTAGAAAATTGTGACACCATTCACCTATTAATGAAATAACAATATGGAAAAGAATAAAATTAACCCATATGGATATTACCTTTAAATATTAGAAAAAAAATAGAT